TACCATGTGTGTATGCGCAGTTTAAAATAGAACAAAATTCTTTATTTTTATTGTCACCCTGTGTTCCTGCTAAATTTGGCGCTAGACAATTATGCTATATTTCCCCAAGAACAATAACCTAACAACCAAAACAACAATATTGTTTTAATAATTATGTCCATGTGCAACATTAAAGGTGAAAGTAGTTTAAATGGTTATACATTACTGGGTGTGGTCACAAAGAAAGTTTGACACAAATGAGACTTACCCGTATAGCTAACTCAGTCCTACCACACTCAGATGCTTTGGCAGCAATCTCAGTATACGAGATTCCTGGAGTGTCTCCTAGTTTACCTTGGATAGCCCTGGCTATCTGTTCATCATCCCGATTTGTTTGCTGCACCTAAAGCAATTAAGATCAATGGTTACAAAAGTCCATTTCAATACATCACTCATAAGTGGAAAATAAAAAAAAATCACAGTGCTGATTTGAGGAGATGGTGTAAGAAAATCCACAATTTTAACTGAACTGCAATAATCACTATTTTTTGTCTCTGGAAATTAAAGTTATATACTGCGAGCAGGCTTTGAACTTCAAAGCTGAAAAGACACCCATTTTCAAAATTATAGAATTGCCTAAGTACATCAGAATAAAAATGAAAATATCAAAGAGCATCAAGGCAAACTTGCTGGATATCAATTCAAGGCAACAGCCTTCAATAACACTGTAAATGTCAAGCCCTATACTTCATCAGTAAAAGTAAGGAAAGAATATCCTACCTTATAGCATGCCCAGTGTGCTAGGATTCTGCTTTCACCTTCAGATTCTGCCATCTTTAAGTATTTACATATTCTAATTGCAAGGCACCATTCACGGCGTAGAATAAGTCTGTAAACAAAAACATAATATGTATAATATTATAATGGAAAAGGGTAATGCAAATAGTGGTGGTATAAGGGATAAAAAGAAATGTATATAGTTATAGTGTTGTTTTTCAAAATTACTAGAATCGTACAAGTATATCTAGAGAGTTTTTGAGGATTTTTACAACTCTTTCATTACATTATATGGTCACATGCTACACAAATCTGGTAAACATTTGCTTGACAGTCCGAGTAAACAAGTGACATCAATTTATTGAATGAATCATTCATTACTAGCCCTACTGAATTAAAACATCAAGTATATGTTCAGCTCAGCTCAGTTGGTAGAGGAACCACAACACAACACAAGACAAAATAAATATCTATAATTGTATAAATCACAAAAGTTTTTGCTTGGAGAAAATTAACATTCATTTGAAAATACTGCATAAAGTGGATAGCAAAATATTACAGCAACAGTAAATGCATTAATGCACCAAGTAAATTTAACTAACCTGTCTATGAGTACAGCCAGCCTTAGATGTTCAAGTCTGAAGTTACAAATTTAGGAATTTACTTAAATTTACACAAAATTATTGATAAGTACATTATATTGTGAAAACTTTTTAATTCGACTTCTGTAGAAATTCAGCCAACAGTAGTTTTAGTAAAAATACCTACTTAACATATTTGTAATTTTCAATAATTTATTTTTTTCCAACACAACTAAATTAATCACTACAAAAGCAAAATTGAAAATGTTAATATTCTAAAATTACACTACTTATGAAGGATACTGAGAGTACGTCAATGGAATACCGACTCTGTAATCTCGAACGGCATTGAGCACTCGTAACATTTGACACATGTTGAAGAATGGCTCTGGTCGCATATCGCTAAGAAAACATTTACCAAATGAGGCAGCCTGTAAAAATAAACAATTAATAAAAATAAATTTATATTTAAAGTGCAGTCATTAAAATAATTCTTGAATTAATTGGATTAAAATGCTAGCAAATTCAGTGGTTGATTCAGTTAAAAACGTACAATAAAATTTTGCTCTCACAGTCAACACGATATGGCGCACAATTCCCATAACTACAGATAAATGAAGTTTAATGTATGCATCTCTAATAGGAGTGCATGCGAGCCAAAAAAAATTTGTTTTTGTGGTATTTTAAGTACACCAAACAAACACTACGTTATATGTTGTATAACAAGACATCTATGTAAAAACATGTGAAAATACAGTATGTGACATTAAATTTACAAGAGAATGAGATTAAGTTGAGTTTCTATAAAATTTGTCTGAGTCTATAATAGTTACATCTCACATAGGTGAACAACACTAAGGCATATAGGCAGGTAAAACTAACCCTGAGTAGCATTCTCTGTGTGTTGGGTTCATATTCGGCTCCAGCAGCAACAATACATTGTTCTACAGCCAACTGTAGCTTATCTTTTATCATCCGTATATACTCATCTGCTTTCTGACTCCCTTTCTGTAGATGTCAAGAGAAAAAGTGGGAAATAAATTATCTACTGTGGAATACTTTATTTTCACTGGAATTCATTTTCGCTAAAAAGGCTTTTTAGGCATTCTTTATGCAATTTATTTTCACTGATTTTTGATGAGTTGAATGTGAAATATGGGAAAAAAAGTATATTCGCTGGATTTTATTTTCACGGAATCATCCCTTCAGCGAAAATAGCGAAAATAAATTCCAAGCGAAAATAAAGTATTCTACAGTATGCTCCAGCCTCACCCCTCAGTCAGGAACATGATACACCTGGATACGATTGGAGAATAAACTATCTTTACTATCAACTTATACACCAATTGTTCTCAGTGAATGCACTTTATTCATTGTTTTAAATCAAAATAAGTCAAATTTACCAAGAAATATGACCTGAGGTCAAATATCCCAAAAAGTATAACCTAATGAGGTCAAATGAATGAATGGATTTCTGAGGAGGAACATGGGAAAGATATGATCTTTAAATGCATGCAAACCAAGCCAAGTTTTATCATATTCTAACCTGGAATTCTCTAGATGCTTCATAAAGCATAGCACCTGGCGCCATAGAACCAATTTTAAAAACATCCTCCACCATATCTGTAAACACAGAAAGAGACAAAAATGCAATTAACTGATTAATACTGGCACATGTACATGAAAGAAGAGGCTCTGGTCATTTATATTATTCACCTTCCAGCATACATACCTCTAACTACACCTGACTAATACCCAGCATGAAAATCATGTTCAAAACTAACATGATCAGCAACCAATCAGAACTCATGCCACAGACTGCTGTCTCGTGAGTCATGCTCAGCATTCTGATTGGATAATAATCGCTTCGACCTATCAGGTCAAAGAACAGTTTCAGGTCACCTTGTGTACGGAATAAGCAGCAAGTCGAAAATATCACTTTTTACCAAAAA